CGTGTGTGAGAGAGAGTTTGGGTTAAATGTGAACACAAGATACCTGGTAATTGTGGACTCCGTAATGTCTCATATCCGTACACATCAGAAGTATGTGCAGAAGGATCCCGATACACAGGAGGTATTCGAATGTCATCTCCGTAAGTTGTAGAGATTCGTCCTGTGAATTGGAGAGAGAAAAAGAAATGCAGTCAGAAAGTCCCATTTCCAGGTACCGGAATGGATAGAGGCCACAGCTCTCGGAGGAAATCACCGTCACAAGTTGTCACTAAGCGATAGAGTCCTGTTCGAAAATTGCAACGAATCCGTTTGAAAGCCGTCCCAGAATGACTGTTCGGTATTTACAAGGTTCTCGTATTACGACTGTCACATTATTACCCTAAATAAACTCTGTGGAATTTGAATAAATCACTTAGATACAGAGATGTGCCTGTCGAGGATCTTCGCTGATTTATTTCTCATGACATGTTTTATGTGAACTTTGACGAGCTGGAAGTACGCGTCGTTTAGTGTGGACTCAGCTCCATTCAATTCACCTGCACATTTGCGACCACGGTTGGTTTGATACCCAACTCTAACCTGACAACGATTGATGTAATCGGATTTCTCTGGCTTGAACAGGTTTCAAAGAGGTCACTGTACACTAGTGTGGTGATCCAGACTTCCGTGACCGCAATCCATGCATGACCAAGTACAGTTTCATGTCATCCAATCACTGTTTGGTACACCAGACGAATATGACATCCGAGTTAGTACATATGATGCGTCGGCGCAAACGGTTACGTGCTTGGAAGACGGTCGTTCGACCAATCATATGGCCTATTACCTTCCACAAAACATGCTCTAATTACATCAACAAACATAGGCATTTGCTGCTATCGATTCCTCGCGTGTTTAATTAGTGTCCGCAGTTCGGGTTGCAGCCAATCTAGTTCTGAGCAGTACATGACGGGTCCTCTTATTTCTACATTCAGTAACATTCCGATTATCACAACTAGGCACTCATGTCAATAATAATATTTGTGAGATAATGATAACTCCTAAAACGTAGCACTCTGAGCCTTATTTAGGATTAGGTAAATGTTCAACAAACTCAATTTCCCGACAGAGTGAGAAACAGAAGTTATTATTGTGGGCTACTACGAATTTGAATTTATTCCATTCCATTCCACCCGTCAACAAGGTTTCCTTCAGCTCGACAAACCTCACTTTGACTTTGACGGTAAGTGACTCCCGTGTTTCAGTTCAGTTTGAACAACCATAAACCACGCATATTTGTGCGCCGGGTTTAGTTGCTGTCTTTTGGCTGCCCATTTGAATGAAGAATAGAAGAAGAAAGGAAATTTGAAAGTGGAGTCTTTATCAGTCTTTATCCTGTTTTCTTAATGGCCAAGTTTCTGCACCGTATAGCAGGACTGATCGAACTGTTGCGGCATACACTCGACCCTTCAAAGACAGCCGGATGTCGCGACGGCGCCAAAGATGTCTCAAGTTAGCAATTGCCAATCGAGCCTTCTGTATGCGAGCTGACACTTCATCCGTGATGCATTCATCGGCTGAGATGTAGCTGCCCAAATAACAAAACTTATCCACCTGCTCTATTACTTCCCCAGTTAAAGTGAGGCTGGGTGCTGGACCAACCCAGTCTTGTAGCAACAGTTTACACTTTAAAGGTGCAAAACGCATACCGAACATGGGTACACTAGCACTCAAACTATCCAGAGCTTACAACTTACCTGGATCTTCACTTAGTGGCACAATGTCGTCTGCATACTTTAGATCAGACAGCCTGCCACTTGGGAGTAAATCGATGCCACTATCCTCGCACGAGGATAGGGCTGTTTCCATAATCAGATCATAACAAAGTCAAAAATATGGAGAAAGAGGGCAACCCTGACGAACATCACTTTCCGTGGTGAACTCGGGCAAAAAAGTGCTGTAAGCCCGGACTCGACTTCGGCTATTAGTATAAAGCGATCGGGCTCACCTTTCAGGGAAAGGTAGCGCCAGAGTTTAGAGCGGTCGACTGAGTCGAAAGC